TCCTTCCTTGGAGGTTTTCCTATAACTGTCGCTTTTCATTGTTCACCAAAGTCCGCCAAACTTGGATTAAACATGTGATTTTAGATTATTATTATCGTCATTAGCTTTTTTCGCCTTGTCTGTTTGACATTTCAATGAAGATTAATTTGGTAAATGTAAAAGGGCTTTTTCAATTTTCAATTGTGTCGAGAAGAATTCAAAAAAGAACAAGAAACAAATTATTGTATTAAAAAAAAAAGAAAAATGCTCTTTCGTAACACATGATTTTTTTTTTATCGGAATAATTAGTACTGACGTTTTCTATCTATTGTGCCTGTACAACGAAGAGATAAACCATTCTTGGACATCGTGGTTTCGTGTGATGACCAGAGGAAGAACGTGATATAGTGTGACGATTTATTTATGTAGAGGATTACATAATTGATGTACAATGTAACATTGTAATATAAGATTATTTGATAAAACATTATATACGTATATAACATTTATTTTTGACATTTGACATTTTTGACATTTTGCACAACTTTTTTTTTTTTTTTTGATTATTGGATCAAAACTTAAGACGCGTTTTATTATTATTATTATTATTATTTAACTTTAATTTTTTTTCCCTCTTTTTTGAGTTTTTTATTTTTATTTTTTTTTCTTTATAAACAAATTTTAACTAGATTTAAATTTTTTTTTTTTTTTTTTTTTTTTTTTTTTAAAAAAAAAACGAGTAATTTGATCCACCAAAAAAAATCAAAAAATCAAAAACAATCTTAGTTTTTCTGTACAAAAATTTGGTGATTCGACATAATTTTTAAACAAATTCATACAAACACGCGTAAAAGCGCTAATAATTACACGTATAAAAAATATATGTATATATATATATATTAAGACTATATACAAAAAAAAAGAAAATTCCATAAATGAAAATAATCTCATAAAAATATCTTATTGGGAAATAGGCGTACTTGGGGTTGACGTAGATGGTAACGGTTCGCATAATGTGTATTGAAATTTACCTGGATCAAAAAAAAAAATAATAATAATAATAATATCAGCGCCAATTCGTTATAAGATCAAAAAAAAAATAACGACGCTTAAAAATGTATTTAATATACTTACAAATTCCAACGATTGTCCAACACAAGTAATCATCAACTTCTTCAACGATTGTTGGGGAAGCCAAGGGATCATTCTTGGCGGCACACGAAACGTTTTGCATACTAACCATTCTGAATGGTTCCTTAAATTCTACATTTTGCATATGTACGACACGAGAAGATTGATACCCAAGGTAAGGCGATGCACCGCTAACTGTGCATTGATCTTGTGAATGGGGACTATCCATTGTTATCGGTCCTGCCGCACTAAGATAGTGGGATTCACACCTATTCGATCGAACACATTGTAAAGCGATCTTTTGCATTTGACTAACGGGTCCGCACGCTCCTTGAGTTATACGACCCTTTTCAACTTTACGTATAATTAATCGATCAGAGGTGTACCCCGTAGTGGGGTCGCTTAGAATGACTTCCGAACCGTATGTGACCGGGATAGAATTCGAACAATTGTTATTGGAGGATTGTGATGACGGCGACGTTGATCCTTTTTGTGGTACATTCGTGGTCGGGAAGGAACTCAACCCGTTGTGATTATTGTTATTATTGTTGTCATTACTGTTCATCACAGTGATGACAAATGAGGACCATGAAGAATTCTTGGCGCATAATTGTCCTCCTTCAATCCCCATATATTTCGTTCGCACCGTTTGTGAATTTATACGATTAAAGAGGGAAACGTGACACCCTGATAGAATACAAGACGATACGTTCCTCGCTTTTGCTGTTTTCTTTGATGGTTTGGAAATGATGGTAACAGGCGCCGATTTGAACACGGCGTATGGAATGGTTGAATTTTTTGTAAAAATTTTTAACTTAAGTTCAAAGTATTTGGCCTTTGCGGTTCCACTAACGTGTAAATATTTGAATGTGCCCTTAAGATTTTCATCGAGCAACGTCTTTTGTTCTAAGGAACGATCACCGTTCTCGCAAACAACCGACATGGTCACTTCGGGTTTCCCATGAAAGTTTCTACAATCATTATGTGGCCTCTCAATCATAACGACCGGTGGTGGACATAAGAACCTCTTCTCGCTCCCGTATGACTTTTGTGCAACCGTCGCGTGTTGACAGGTTACGGTGGTCATTTGATATGGACTTGATGATGATCCGTCGATTTGATGATACTGAAGCCTTGGCTGTATTGGTACAACTTCATTCAAATAATCGTCCATTGGACGTCGGATTTTGGAAAGTGACTCTTCCATATAAGGGCTACTCAAGATGGAGCTGTCGGTTGAATCCCACTTCCTTTTATTTGAATTTGAGATTAAGGGTGGGGGTGAATGGCGCGAGCGATCAACTTCCCCAATTGCTTGATTGACGCTTGGAAGTGGAAATGTGTTCAAGAAAATGTTGCTTGGTGGTGAAGGTTGTAAACGGGGGAATGGAATCGAGTCCGTAGGTGAAGGTACAGACATTGGAGCGGATGGAAGCATGGAGGCGAGAGGAACCGGTGAGGCAATTGGTGACGTTTTCGTCGGACTCGTCGAAAGACCTGGGAACGTATTTAATGTGGTATCTGGAGGGGTTAAAGGTGTGGACCCTTGAATTGGCTGTTCCAAATCAATCAATGAAGAGATTGACATCGCTGCAGGTGTCAATGCGCCACTCGAATCGGATTTACGTGGTGAAGAAATGGAATTGGTAATGGGAGGTGGAAGTAAACGATTTGAATGAAACGGTGATGGCTGCTCTTGCATATGAAGATTACGTTGATTTTCATCATGTTGATAACAATGCTTATTTTGTTTGTCATGTGAACAACGATTCGTCACCGATTGTTTTTCGCCACTTCTTTCCGTGAAACGATTTTGGTAGGAACATTTTGAATGAGTCAAATCAGCTGGGGCAACCTCAATGGCATTCAATAGTGTTTCCAGATTATTGCCTCCAATGTATTGATATCTGTGGTCCAAAGCCTGTTCACCATAAATTTGAGGTTGCGGAGAAAAAAGATACTTTGGATTTTGGGACTTTGGGGAACCCAATGTAGCGTTATCCATTGTTTTTTAATGGTAAAAAATGTGTGTGATAAGATTGTTCGAAAAAAAAAAAAAAAAAGTTTCTCTTTATTTTACTTTTTTATTTTTTTATTTTATATATTATTTTAGGTAATTTGTTGTTTATTATTTATTTTATTTATTTTTTTTCCTTTCTAAAAAAAAAAATAAAAAAAAAATAAAAAAAAAAGGGCTTTAAAAGAATTGGGAAATTATATTTTTTTTTATGCGTTGAATGATTATTTTTTTTTTTTGTTTTGTGAAGTCAAAATCGCGTGTGAAAAAAAAATAGAAAATCAATTGCACGGGGTGGTGGTTAAATAGTAATTTTTAGTTTAGTAGTTTTTTTATTAATTTATATTGTGGAGAATAATGTGGAGAATCAATTATTATTTTTTTTTTTTTTTTATCAGTAAAGGATCTTTTTTTTTTTTTTTTTTCAATCTTTTGTATTTCCTTTTTAAACGATTGTCAAACTTCTTAACCAGTGAATACTTTGTTTATTCAAAAAATCGGCTAAAAAAAGCAGGAAAAAAAAGTTTTCAAAAAAAAAAAAAAAAAAATGAAAAAAAAAATCAACAGAACACTGATAAGGGACGTTATCAGCTGTATGCTACAAACAGATAAAAAGATAAAATACCAGATATGCAAGTACAACGCTTCCCCGAGTCAGATTTGCACAATACAACAATTTTTTATATGAACCCTTCTGTAAAAACGAAAACAGAACAAAACTTGAATTGAAAAGTAACCAACATTTTAAGAACAAAAAAAAAACCATTTTTGAAAGGAACAAAAAAAAAAGAAAACTGTTCTTTTTTTTTAGTATGTTTTAAGTAGAACATCCATCAACATAATATCTTCTCTGCATGAAATAAACATTCTTCGTGACACCCGCGAAAATCCCTGTTTTAAATAGAAGAAGGTTGTTAAAAAAATCGTATCATATTTCCATTGGGATGTTATAGGATGTGCTTTTTGATGATTTGATATCTGCTTTAATAAATTGTCAAGTAAATAAATAAATAAATATATATATGTAATTTATATATATATATAACGGATTATTTTTTAATTTCATATCTGATTTCAATGTTATTGCGTGACACTTTGTGATTGCCTTTTTATTATTCAATTCAATGTCTATTTTTGAAAGTGTGGGAGAGTGGCGTGGATTTGGAATGAGGGGTTTTTTTTTTGTCCTGAATTAAAAAATTGCATGTGCTTTTTTCAATAGAAAACAATCTTATTTTTTGTCCGACTGTGAATTTTTTTGATAAAAGATTAAAAAGATAATCAGCCTTTTCTTCTCATTATGTGATGATGGGACTTTCATGTCTTTCAACTTGTCTTATGATCTTTTCTTATCTTACCGATATGAAAATAAATAAACTGATAATTTTAATTAATGATGTTCCCAAATTTTTTTTTTTTATTATAAATAGATCATCATTACACTAAAATAATCGGTCAAAAACAACAAAATGAAATTATCTTCGAATGGAATAATCCGTCGACAAAAAAAAACTCGAATGTCATCATAATGCATTCGTAATTTTTTTCGTGGGATACAAATTTATAATATGGCCATTTTCAGTCGTATCAATGAGCATTTTCACTCGGATCGTCCAACGTTTATGTCAGTGAGTTTGGCCAGAGTTATGTAGATCACCCTTCAAATCATCACCAAGAAATCAAAAAGTAACGAGGTTGAAATCTAGATCGTCGTTGATGATTACAAATAATTAATCGAACATTTTCTCGCGGTTATATAATGGGAGAAACTAGATAAACCTTATCAGTGACGGTCATTATTTAAACCTCAAGTTTATCGAAACGTAAATACAGTGTGACAAGATATCATATATTTAATTAAGATGATAAAGAATCACTCATCAGGAAGGGCCTTATCTATTATCGACATCAGGTAATTGGCCAGATTCTCATCTCGATGGTTCCACGAAATATTAAGAGAGTTGGTATTGTCGTCCGATACGCTTATTAACATGCTTCTTATCTTTATCTGTGATGGTATCTTTGTTATTTCCGTACATGACATTTTGCCTCTAAGAGCTTTCGTTACTGCTTCATAGACGATTTCCAAAGCTCGAACGCGAACGTCAACGTGAGGTGACGCGTCAAGATTTTTTTGCACCTTGCTGGGATCAAAAGTCTTAATAAATTCAAACGTTAACTCTCGTAATGGTAGGTTTGCATCGCGCATCGCTTCATCGGCATCCATTAATCTCGGTATTCGATCCGGTTCCATTGACAAAACACCTTGTATGGGAATCTCATTCACGGGCTTGATACGCGTAATGTCAATTTTCTCATCCGAGGTGGGGAAAGGAAGCTTTTGTGCGGCATGGTGACGTTTGAGCAAATCAACCGAAACATCAACGGGTATGGAAAGGGGTGTATTGATAATTAAAGTTTCTCCGTTGGCCGGTGAAAAACATGGAATCTTACACTCACGCTTAATCTTCTCTTGCAGAAATTCCATCTTTGCCTTCTCCCCGTGAACCAACATTACATTTCTTGGGTCGCACTGCTTTATAAGTTGTAAAATTCCCTTGGCGTCAGCATGCGCGCTGAAAGACAAATTTTTCACTTGTATATTTACAGTGATCTTATTGTAAGCATCTATATAAATCTCCTTGTCCCCGTTGAGAACTTTGGCTCCTACAGTACCAGCCACACAATATCCGGGCATGATGACCATATTCTCCGGATGTGGTGCCCACTTCTTAAAGACTTCCAAGGATGTGCCGATGTGTAACATACCAGGGGTGGCGAATAAAACCGCGGGACCCGGTAAATCCATATATTGTCGATCCCAGGGTTTGATATGCTTAAAGTCGAACATATTTCGTTGAACAAAAGTATTTTTAATCTTCTCATTCGTCCAATTAATAAAAAGTTTATAATAATCGTTGGCTTTCTCGGTCATACCGGCCGAGAAGTAAACGGGTACATTAAGATTATTCCTCTCCCAATACGTTTCAATTAAGATACATAGCTCTTGGGCACGTCCAAGAGCAAAAACTGGTATGAGAACCTTCCCTCCTTGTGAAACGCAATCATGAACTTTCTTTAGAAAGTCACGTTCACGTGTTCTTTTGGAATCGCGTATAGTGGTGGCATAAGTTGATTCGGTTATTAACAGGTTCGGACGTACTTTATCTATCCACGCCGCGCCCAAGTGTCGATCAGGAGTCATGTTGTAATCTCCCGTGTAAACTACCGATTGTGAACCCACGCGTACATAAAACATGGCCGCGCCCAAAACGTGACCAGCATAAAATGGTTTGATTTCTAAATCATCATCACCATTAACTTTAATCGTCTGATGAAGGTTTACCGCGGTGACCTTCTTCATACAATTTTTAATCATTTGAGACGTGAAGAAATTCGTTTCCCCCTTTCTTTCGACGGTAATCTTTCGATAATCCTCAAGTAATATAGGACAAATGGCTTTGGTAGGATGTGTCATATAGATAGGTCCTTCGTACCCACACATTTCAGTGAAATATGGCAAGGCACCTAAAGTGAGAAACGATCAATAAAAACTAAAGAGTATCGAGCATGAAAAGATTAATTGTAAATTTGAACACTTACCACAATGATCCAAGTGAAAATGACTTACTATGATACAATCCAATTGCTCGGTGAATCGATTCGTTTTGGAAATATATGAAAAATCCGGAAATCTTCTATCATCATTATAACCCATATGCATTCCACAATCAAACATTATATTTTTAGTTCCCGTACTATCATCACCCATAGATATAAGAATACAACTACGTCCGACATCTTGACCTGCACCGAGTGGTATCACTTTTATCATGATATACAATATATGTTTATATTTATATATTTTATTTATATTAATATTTACAGGCTCCAAAGAAGTTAGATTGACTGGAAAAGAAAAAAAACTACTTGCGTTATTGTCGTACGTAAGACGTAAGCGTGTAGATTTTCTTTTATCGTATCACATGGTTACACATATCGAAAATATAAAACCAGTTCACCAGACTTTTTTTATTTGTTCACACATTTCTTATCATGTTTTTGACAAGGTCTGAGTACGATCGCGGTGTAAACACTTTCTCACCTGAAGGACGGTTATTTCAGGTCGAATATGCCATTGAGGCCATAAAGGTACTCTCATTCATGTCTGATAATTTGATTGCTTTTATCAATTTTTTTATTTTTATTTATTTATTTTTTTTTAACTTGACCAAATATTTATTTTTTAAATAGTTGGGTTCCACCGCGGTGGGCATTCAAACTTCTCAGGGTATCATCCTAGCCGTCGAAAAACGCATCACTTCTCCATTATTGGTAGCAAGTAGCATTGAAAAGATTATCGAGATTGATTCACATTTAGGGTGTGCTATGAGTGGGTTGACCGCCGATGCCCGAACAATGATCGATCACGCCAGAGTCGCAGCGCAAGTTTGTATTTAAAGGATCATTGTTTTCAAAAATTTCAATCGAGATTCAATTAATATTTTTTTTTTTTTTTTTTTTGTTGCAACTTTGTAAAAAGAATCATCATTTTACTTATAACGAAAAAATCAAAGTCGAGTCCGTAACACAAGCTGTATGCGATTTGGCTCTGAGGTTCGGGGAGAGCGCTCATGGTGAAGAATCAATTATGGTTTGTCTTTTTTTTTAGTTTTTTTTTTCGTTAAAAAAAACTAATAATAATTCTAATAAAAAAATTAATTACGTATTTGTTGAATAAAGAGTCGACCTTTTGGTGTAGCCTTGTTGATTGGCGGTGTCGATGAGAAGGGACCTCAGTTGTAAGTATAAATCAAGAAAAACCTTTGCATTATTCTTTGATGCATTATGTATTGATTCTATTCGAAATATGTAAAAGATATCACGCAGATCCATCTGGAACTTTCATGCAATATGACGCGAAAGCCATCGGGTCCGGATCTGAAGGTGCACAGACTGAGCTACAAGAAGAATACCACAAAGTAAAAATCTTTAATATTAAATGTTCCTTTAAATCATAATATTAGTAATCATAACATTATTATTATAATTATTTTTCAGTCTCTTACTCTGGTGGAAGCTGAAACTTTGTCATTAAAAGTTTTGAAACAGGTAATGGAAGAAAAACTGAACAAAACCAATATTGAATTGGCATCTATCACATCAGAACATGGATTTAGAATTTATAGTGAGGATGAATTACAAGCTGTGATAGATAGATTATAATTAATATGCTCTTGACCATATTAAAATTTGGAATCGTAAATGTAAATTACCAAAAATATAAAAAAATAAATTACAATTATTATTTTATTTTTTATTTATTTTTTTTTTCTTTTGAAAGAACGAGCATTACTATTAAATATTATCTATTTGATTGACTTTTTAATTACAATTTGTTGTTTCCTAATGGATTGGAAGATAGGAAAAATACCGAAATTTAGAGCGCATATATTATATCGGATAATAACAATTTGATTTCAACCTTTCCTTGAGTAATAATGGGTATTAAGTCGAATTAATTATTATTTTTTTTTTTTTTTTAGAGACAAAATTAAAATATTTTTTTATACACCCTATGAGTTTAATAAATAATCATCCTCTTCGATTACAGTAGCCATTTCATTATTTTCCAATGAATTTCCATTTTTGCTAGGTTGCAATAGATTATCTAATAAAAATTTAAGGTCCAACCCAACTTCGCGTAACTAATATATATATATAAACGTAAGTTTCAAATAGAATTCATACTAGGAAGGAAGGAGATTTCAATACTTTACCATTAAACAGTGTTCTCTAGTATACCTCAAACATTCTTGTACAATCCTGTCATCACGATTATGCAAACTATATACTTGTCGTCTAAACATATTTGCATAATGTCCCATTTCCTCTTGTACCCACTTTACAAGACCTATTCAAAAACAAAGGTTAGCTATATATATATATTAGATTCAACCTTTTAATCTAAAGAAAATAGTTACCCGAAGCCATCCTCATGTCTCTAAACGAAGCATTATACCAGTCACACGTGTTTTTAATTAATGTAAAATATACTAGAGATAATTCATTAATATATTGTGGTATATCACCCTCAAATTTTAATTGTCTAGAAAACCAAATCATTTACTTGAATACTGCATTTATAATTCAAATTTCTCGGCGGAAAAAAAAAACTGAAGCTTACTTTGTTCTTATCCGAATATTTTCGGTTCTCGCAACAAGGAACAATTCTCGTGCCTAGATCATACTTTGATGTTAAAATAACTAAATCGAATGATAAAATTTTAGTTTGTTATAATGGTATGCTACCTGTTCTCCGTATCCAAGATGAAATAACCATCGTACACATTTCTGTACGTGCGATTTTTTCACGTCAGGATTTGTGAGATCACGACTAATAGCAAGAGACAATCGAACAACGCGATCCTCCATTTTCGTACGAATCGCATCCAATTTTGTAGAATTTGAAGTTGATACGTTAGTGAGAGAACTCTTTGCTATAATTCATAATATGAAATAAAATTTTGATTAACAATTGTTCTATACGTTTAGAATGAACATTCCTTGTGAAGAATAACAAATACCTTTTTCAATATTCTCGACAGCTTCCTCAAATTCTCGCGTTGCAATATGAACATCCAACTCATCTGCCAAATCTTCAATTTCGCGAATATTATCCATTGTAAGTTCTCTAGGAGTTTTTACTGGCAAAGGAACAGATTGCCTTAAGGCTCTTAATGATGGTGGTGGGCCCTTATTCTTTCTTGAAAGAGTTCTTATGAGTGGAGTATGTTGTTGCTGTTGTGATTTCTATCATAATGTGATTAGAATTATATTATTAAACATTTTTTTTTTCCATCATTATTCTTGTTTTGATAAGATTTAATGAGCGCTTACTGCGGCCATCACAGAATCTATTAAATGATTTCACATGTTAGAACTTGGGTAATTGTAATATATTAGAAATACTTTCAAGCATACCAGCATGTTTTGCGGCTTTGGCTGACATCATGTCGTCAGTTGCACGTTTGGTCATGTTTAATAAATTTTTTTTCTCTTCAGCATTTCCAGATTGGAAAATAAACTGATCCGTGGGATGCTTCAAGATTTTAATGAAATTCACTTGTTCTAATCGACAGGAATAAATTTTTTAGGTTGACACTCAAACGGATGCATCATTAATCGTAATAATCCAACTTTGTACAAAACCTTCAGTATCTTTCACGTCCATCAGGGTTATATCCTCCAAAGAAAAACAACGATCGGCAACTAATTTTGCTTTTGAAGTATCTTTGGACGCTTGACGTTTCTTTTTACTAGCAACCAATAAACAATCGTTTAATAAAAATATATGCACAGATTGTTTTGGCTTATTTGTACTAAAACTAATTTCTACAAAATTAGAGCACTCGCGAAGTATGTGTCTTCCAGGTTCCAACGACACAAAGTTCTGGGAAAAAAATGAAAATGAAAACTATCAGCCATTTTTTTTTTTTAAAAAAAAGAAAAAAGTTAAATTAAAGAGAGATGATAACCTGAGCACCTTCCACACCCGCCCATAATTGTTGAATTTGTGCTTTCCAAATTGATTGCATATCAGTAGCATTATTTAAAGTTGGGTTGCGCCTTCTTGGTCCAATTGGCTCTGAAGTTACTGAAGTCACTATAAATTGAATAGTATAATGTAAATTACCATCAGTATAATATATTATAGATTGTTTAATAATCAACATACCGGGCCCAATGTTAACGGAATCAGTACTATCATCTCTTAAATTGTCACTGACATTGCGCAACTCATTCAAGAGTCCTCGCAATACAAGCATATCACTTTCTAACTGTAAAATATGATCCATCTAGGTCAAGAATAAACATATTAAAGCCTTTGAACTTTATCAATGATCTGATGCATTATTTAAAGAAAGGATATTTGATATCTCTTGGGATATTGTCATGAATTCATTATAGTTCTTATACACATTTCTTTGCAAATCGCTAGCCGCTAAATCTTTTGATTCTTGCAATGTGTCCAAAAAAGCTCTCACCCCTTCTTCGGTGGCAGTAGATAGTGCCTTTTGGATATCTGACCATGATTTTTATTTAAAGATAAATATATATAACGAATTTCGATCAAATTCAATAAATCTGGTTTTATTTTAAAAAACCTTATCAACGTACATGTTTCAGGTCTAAAATCATCGCCTGCAAATTCTACTATATCAATGGCAGGTGGTTCCTTTATATCCTCATCAGGTGTGTAAGGTCTACCAGGACTAAGATTGTTATTGTTCCATTTCCCTTCAGCTTTTAAAACACTGCGACTCATTTTTTTCGAAATAAAACCGGGTGAAGACGGGGAGATACTTTTTTCGATCCCATTTATTGCATTAGCTATGCGAATATTGATGCCGCGAGGTTTGCTACTTGAAATTTGACTATTCAGACTATTCATGGTTGTTGGATCAGTTTGTGGTTAAATAATAGGAATGACTTTGACAAGAAGCAAAAAGTTACTCGGCATGAAATTTGAAAAACTTTGACCGTCAAAAAAAAAATGCGTTTTTTGTTCGACTCGCACAACCGACAAATTAATCATTTATAGACCCTCTGTAACACCATCTAAATATCGTTATTCTCGTGACAAACACTGATGACATATAGTTGTGGTCACGTGAGGTGGGAAATTTTGATGTTACTGGGGAAGATAGAATATTCCGATATCTCTAAATTGATTGGCAGAATGTTTATATAAAAAAGCTCGCCTTGATCAACATGCGCCATAATTGATTGTCTTGTTCAATATGAAAGTTTATTCAATTTCAATTTACTCCAAAGATTCTCGTAATGAAGTTATTAGGTTGACTGCAGAGTACGATCTCTCAAGTTTTGGTTTCTTTCAGCGCAGCACTGTTCAGGATATTATTATGGTAATTTCTAAAGCAATTGCAGCGGGAACGAAACCCGGTCAAAGACAACGCGTTGAAGAACAACGTATGAACTCTTTTACGTCTAAATACTTTTAAACATTACGTATTTCGGATATTAATGGATCAATTATATTTATAGCCTATGTAGGTTATGTTTACTCTCGTTCCGACATTCCTCTTACAGGAGTCATGATTACAGATGAAGAATATCCACAACGTGTATCATTCTCTGTATTGAACAAGATTCTTGACGAATTCCTCATAAAATTTCCTCATAATGATTTTTCTAAAGTTGGTACAATCTCTTACCCAGAATTAAAAACTTATATAGTTAAATATCAAGATCCCAAGCAAGCAGATCAGATTGTAAAAGTACAAGAACAATTGGATGAAACAAAACAAGTCATGGTAAAATCAATGATTTCTTTAATTGAACCTTTTTGAAATCAAGACTTTTTTTTGTAATTATTTTTTTGTTAATTATTAGAATCGAACAATTGAATCCCTTTTACAACGTGGGGAAAAGTTGGACGATTTGATAGATAGGTCACAAGAGATTTCTTTTCAATCTAAAGCATTTTATAAACAAGCTAGAAAGGTTAGTATTGTCATTTGGAATATTATAACAAAATCATTTTCTAATATATTTTATTTTTTCATTATAAAAGACAAATAGTTGCTGTACTATTTCATGATACTTAGACGTATATTATGGTTCAAAATACCACAAAACTCCTTTTTTTTTTTTTTTACATCTTTTTTAGTCATGAATTTTAATGTACTAATTTTCGGTTAAAAAATATAATTCCAACCTTAAATATTTCAATTTTTTTTTTTTACGGAATAATATTATAACAATCCAATTAAATTCAAAATAAAAACGATTATTTATTTATCATTATTTCTCGAAGTTTATAGAAAATAATGCAAATTTATACAAGTACAAAGGATAATGATGATAATAAAAAAAGAAAAAAGAAAAAGTAAAATCAATCATTGGATAAATATTTAATGCCTTTTTTTTTTTTTTTTTTTTTTGAGAAAATGATGGTGATAATGTACTAATATACATAATTATAATTACAAAACCCCCAAAGGGTCATCAACTGGCAAAACAGGTGTATTGGTTGTAAAGATATGACTACTCGATCTTTTTTCATTGCTTGATGAAGCTGATCCAATACTTTCACTTCTTTCTCGACTCATGTTTTTTTGTGCGAAAGGAGATGCTCCTAACGGATCAATCCTTTCGGAATAAAGTGAAGATACAATCGATGAATTCCTTGTCTTTCTTTGGTTAGGTGTAGAAATAGATTTGAAAACATCATCGTCTGTGTCTTTTGAAAAATCTGATGATAATCCAGATAAACTATTAATACTACCAATACTTGCCCTCTTTGGATTAAACAAAGAATTATCATCTTCATCTGTGTAGCCTTCAATCATCCAACTATATTTAGAATTCGATGCAATAGAGGATTTCGGTGATCCTGTTCCACTATTTTCCATATCATTCAATATATCTTCGAACCTAAGTTTGGATTTCTGGATTGAAATGGAAATCGGTCTTTGAGTTTTAGGTGATGCTGCACTAGCTTTAAACTTTTCATATGAAGGACTTCGTGATAATGAAGTGTTTGTGCTAGCACGTTTAGTGATGTTGGAACGTTGTTGAAGTGTCACATTTTGTGAAGGATAAACTTGTGAAGGAGAATCAAATTTGGAAGGAAAGACTTCTTGTGAAGAAGTTGCTTTCGTGGATGTTGGCGGTGACGATTGTAAAGATGTGATTGATATAGTTTGAACGGGTTTCGTTGAAATTGTTTCTGAAACTGTTGTTTTTGTGGCATTGACATTAGTAGAAGAAGAACTTGAGGGTGTTGTAATTTTGTCTTGTTTTGTTTGAATCTCTTTAGTAACGGATGCAGTTTCATCCTCCGTTCCAGCCACACTAACCACACTAACGCCATCGTCTACTACTTCCCAATGATCATGATCTTCTCCATTGTGAGATGAAATTTCCATAATATGTGGATTAAATTCTTTTACAAAACCATTCAATACATCTCTTATATGCTTGAGACCATGTAATACGTGAAGAACAGAAATTTCGTTTGGAGATAGAGTCGACGAGTCTTCATTATTATTACCCGAAATATACTCAAATGATGATCGAGATTCGGAACCATCAGAACTTTTCTCAATTTTTTCCGCATCTGCCGCACTTGTGATTTCCCTCAATTTTGCCCTACCCAAAATTTCTTGTTCAAGAATTTCTATACTTTTTTGAACCACCAATGCAATCTGTCGATTCTGTTCTTTTAATTTTGTGATTTCTTCAGATGTTGTCTCCGAGCGTAATGGATCAACATGATTCGATATTTGTTGTTGATATGAGTGATTTGATTGTGCATATTTCTGTGAATATTCAGCAGAACCTGGACGGGTTCGTTTGTCATATTCTGTACGAATTTGACCATCTGGTCTACGGAGCACATTCTGAAAATTGACATTTTTCTAAACAAAAAAAAAAATAAACAAAATTTTCAATTAATAGAACAAAATCGAGGAAAGAACACACCCTATCACTAACCTTTACTTCTCCAACCGCAGTTAGAATTGCTTTATTAATTGCTACCGCACCACGACTTTCTAATACATTTTTCGTTACATGAACGAATCCTTCTTGTACTAAACCTTCAATTTTATGTGGTTCTTTAAGTGGATGAGTTGGTACGGAAAGTAATTTACCGATTCTAAGTGCGTTTTCTTGAATGATCGAAGCACCGCCCTCAGGTGTCAAATGATCACGAAGAAATATTGCTTGAGGAACTAACACCTCTACGTCCGATGTTGGAGGGTAGCGCATTAGCATACTTAAACATCCAGCATAGTCAGACATTAGCACTGATCATATATTATATCAGTATAAATTTACAAATATTAATTAATACTAAATAAAAAAAAATAGGATAATACTCACATTCATCACGAATAAGTAACATCATTGCGACGCATACAAAATCAACTATTCTCAGAGTTGGATCTTCCGCAAACATTCCATCCCATAAGATTAATACTTGATTCAAGGGGAATTCACGACCGAAAAGCAGTCTTATCCAGCGTCTACAGTATAGTATAATTATAATTAGTTCTCACCGATTCGGAGATATATTTTCTGAAATTCATAACATATAATCATCTTGCAACCATGAAATAGTCTGTTATTTTATCCTAATAAGGCACACTAAATTAGGATATAGTTATTTCTAACATATGACAAAGCATTGTCTACCACATACTCATAAGGATCACAACATTTGAATCTTCCAATTTTCTAAACTTTTAAATAGAAAAAAAAATTGCAATTCGCTATATTACACGCGAGTAGAGTATCGTACATAATTAAAAGGTATGATGATGTTATAATAATATGTGAAAAAAACTATTCGAAACAAAATTGCATCCACGTAAACGTCGCAATGATGAGATTGATTATATTTTCCAAAATAAATAAGAAAAAAACCTACATTCCATAAAGTTGTGGCTCAATATCTAAATCTTTTAAATGATTGTATAACTCTGGATCAATTGTTCTAAGATATTCATCATAAATTTTACTACATTTCATAACCACAGGAGTTGATTTTGCAGCCTTTAAATCAATTCGGATATAATTTAGACAAAGTGAAAAGAGTAAAAAAAAGATTACTAAATTTACAAATAAACAAACCTCAGCTTGGGCATCTTTAATTTTTCTTTCATATTCAAGATCAGTTCCTTGGGCACGCTATGAATCCAAGTTAACCAAATAATTTGAACGACATAAATACCGCTACTTTTCTGAGAATTTAACATACCTTTATAGGTCTTCTATTGAAAACTTCATCATTATATTCATAATATACTTTTGCCGCTTTCATCAATGCAGAAAATAAAGCAAAGGTGTCATGTTCAACGTAATCTGCATTTAAAGTTTGCTTAATAATCGTCTCTTCACCATTTTCCACTGCATAACCATTGGAACTAGGAATGCTCTCTTTATCAACAGTCCATAAAATGGGGGCCAAAAGTTCGTGCATTCCTTGACGATAGGAAACATCTTGATTCATTTTACAATAAATGAAGAGAATATCGAGCAATCGACTTTGACTTAAAGAAGTGCGAAAATATGGATTATCTGGAAACCTAAAGAAATTAAAGAATTCAATTTTCTTGATTAATCAGAAATAAATCACGTAAAATATCCAAATATACTAACGTTCTTTCAACATCTTGCCGAATAATTTTCCTTAATTCTGTATCTTTAAAATATTCTTGCCAAGGATTCTAATGATATTATTAATAATTAAAATAAATGATGTCTTTAAAATTCAATAATGAATCGCCATAATTAAAAATACGTACGGCTTGGTCTAATGATAATGGGTTATTCACACTTAAATCGCTTGCACCATCATTTTCACTTTCGGAAGCAGGATTAATAATATATTTTTGTCGAAGATTCGCGTAATGCTGTCGTTCCTTATGAAGAGTAAGAGGCCATGTTGCAGTATCTAAACTTGGCAAGTATGCCAAGTATAACTAAGTGGTTACAGATATCAAATAGTTATATACTGGTTTCGCGTAAAAAAAAAAAGAAGATAATTTCAAAAACTCTATACATAAAGAATAGAACAAAAATGAATACATTAATACCTTCCAGAAAACGGATCTTAACCCTTGCGAACAAATATTTCCTTTAACACCTTTTTCTCGCAAGGATGTCAGTGAAAGTAACGGATCTTTAAAAATGACGTCCCACTTTGTCCTAAACAATTTTCGCACAATTTCAATTATTTTATTCCTAAAACTAAAATAAAACCCTGTTTTAAACATACTTGACTTCTTCAAAAGACTGACTTTCCATAGCAAAAAACTATTAAATTCAAGACGAAAATAATAATAATAATAATAAAAATAAAAGATATTTAAAAAATTGAATGAAACAATCATTTATATATACTAATCGTACTTATCGGTTGAATAGTTGACCAATCAGCCTACTTGCTTTTGCAAACAAATACAGTATAATTTATTTAAAAAAATTTGATACCTAAAGTCCTTGCTTATTCATATTCAAAGAAGATACATAAAAATATATATGCGATAATGAGATTTATATTAATATTTCTTCAACAATAACATTTCTATTCCAAAGAGTTAAATAATTCACCATCAGAGCATGAATACGACGATTTCGCTATTCTGTGTATATATATATATTTATATATGTATTTTTTAATCTTATAATAAAATATTATAGTAAAGATAATAATTGTAATTCTAAAATTTTGATAAACTATGATGCATCTAATTCTTTAAATATATAATCAGGAATACGTCTATGTGATTTATACTTTTTAACCGCTCTGCTAATTTTCCTGTTAAAAACTTTTCTATATACATTCAACGCACTCCCCTTGGAACTAGGTATAAGGGTGCATTTAAGAGAGTGTGCATTTATAGAATATATATAAATCTATATAATACTAATCTAAATTAAGGTAATACAAAAAATTTATAAGTACAGTTCTCGAAAAAAATAATGAGAATTATATTTTTATTTATTGCGTAACAAATAAAGGTCAAAAATACATAAAAAGTTGTTCATCATATTATGATTATATCCCTAAAAATTATTTAGTAATCTGTCTTATCACCATTTCGTTCAATTACCTGTTCTAATCTCGATGGCATGCTACGGATTAAATTAACAAAAAATTTTAGGCTCAACTTCCTCCCATTTTTTTTGAATTATCTCGCAAAAAACATCTACAGTAATTGGACTTTTTTTAGCCACCAGTTTGTTAACCTCTTTCTCTACACAGCTATTCATTATTTCCCATAAATTTTCTATAGGATTTAGGTCGGGGCTATTTGATGGCCAGTCCATCAACGATCTGCAAGCAATTTCTTGGTTTTCTTGGCCATGTGCTTGGAATCGTTATCTTGTTGGAACACCCAAGACCTTCCCATGATAGAATTAGCATTATCAATGAGATTTTCCTTTAAAATTTCACGATAAAAGGCACCATCCATATTTTCAGTAAAAAGAAGGATGCCAATTTGACCTTTGATTGAAAATGCACCCAGTGGGATACCACCATGTAATATAAATTATATTACATGGTGATATCCCACTTATCCTAGATTATATTACCACCATATAATCTGGATACCACTATATGATCTAAATACCACTATATAATCTGAGTACCACTATATGATCTAAATAATATAATCTTAATATAATCTAATTATCACCATATAATTTATTTATTTTCGCGTATCAGGTATCTTTTTTTATACTCTAGCTATCCTTTTAAATCTTAAGAATGATGACCTCTTACGCCTGATTGGGTGCTGGATTCTATATTGAAGTACTTACCCTTTGTGCCTGTTTGATTGCCTGTTTAAATGTTAAATTATAGTAAAAAAATCGCGTCAGGTAGCGCAGTAAATTTGCGTTTAATTTTGGCTGACACTATGCCATAATTTCAGCTAATATTTAGGCACGTGATTTGAGGATCCAACTCAGTACCATAATAGTGCTATGGTAGTGATCTGGAACTGTCAAGGTGCTAGATTAGTTCTATTAATTTATCAGTTTTAGACCTCTTATATGCCAGCTTAGATGCTGAATTCTTATATCCAAAGTTCTAGCCAAAATTATAGAATAGTGCTGGCCAAAATTAACGAAATTTACTGCGTCTTACTGCATCATGATCACATGTTCAGTTCCTTGCCAGTTTCAGGCACTTTCCTGTCACTTTCAAATAACTTTTAAGTAACTTTCGAGTGTCTGATTTGGTGGTCAGTTGGTTAGAGGATCAGAAGTGTAATTTGTATTATATTAATCAGTCCATATATTTTCCTTTTTGATTGCCAATCTCTTGATTGCCAGATGAGACATGAAGTGCTGAATTTGCAATCCATCTATTTGCTGAAGATGTGTTGCAATCCATTCACTCATTTTTTGATTGTCAGTGAAGCATAAAGTGCTGATATTGTGTCATTCTTGCAATCTCGTCTATGACCATTTTGATTGCTGAGGATGAGGCACAAAATGCTGAATTAGTTTAGGCTATATAGCTTTCATACCTTTTTTCGTGTATTCTTCTAAATCTTTCTATCTTTCTGATCTCTTTTCTGCCTATTAGTGGTAGTATCTAAAAGCATAATTTCTTATTTTATTTCTATATAATTCTACTTTTAGATACTACCAAATTTATACCTTAGTTTTTGTCTGAACCTTCCTAGAACTCTTTCTCGTATAGTTATTATACTAGGATACTTTAAGGTATTACTACATCAATTATTTTTAGGCATTATTATATTGATTACTTTTGAATACTACCGCATCGATTACTTTTAGATACTACCACTAACCTAGTATTTTGCTAACAAGCATATTCGCTCAAAATTTTTATTTAAAAATTTACATATAATTTTATACTTAGTATTTCTATATATTATATTATATTACTTGCGCAAAAAAATTTTGGGCTTCGTCCTAAAATAATAAATGATGCAACTAGGCTCTTCTCTAGTTTAGCCAACCTCAATTATAAGTCTGTTATAATAATCATATATACTTTCAATATTTGTCTAATAATAAAAATGATATCTCTCTTCTAGGAGCCTATCATCCTAAAGAGATTTTTGATAAATATATTATTCGAGTATCTAAAAAGGTTTTACAATAGTTAATCATCTATCTGAAGTTTATAGAATCCCTGATGCTTACGAATACATTGATGAGAATCTGCCTCTTCACCTAGTTCTAGATATTGATGTGAGGCAAAAACTAGATCTAATGAACTTTAAGCTCCCTTTTTTAGATAAATATAAACTTACTCACAAATATTTATTATCCAGAATCTTAATTGCCTGTGTTGATATTTTATATTCTGATTTAAACCATCTTGCAATATTAGATGCTTTTGTCTTAGCTAATTCATCTAATACTAATAAATGCAGTTAGCATATTGTGTATAAATATGCACAGTTCGTTGACTACAGAGACTTTAGAGGATTTGTGAAAAAAGTTGCTGATAGAGTTGGGAAACTATACTCTGAATTTATTGACCTTAGGCTTTATAAATTACGTTTTAGTCTTCGGCTTTTTAGATCAGCAAAGGAAAATAGAGTTAAAAGACCTGCAATTTCTTTAGTTAAACAAGGATATCGCAAGCTAGAAGATTATTTAGTTTAATCTAAATCTGATTATTTCAAAATCTGGCTACAGATCTTTTCTTCTAAAAAATCAGAAAAGGATGAATTTCAACCTATCAAAGATAAAACTGCCTTAAGCAAGGGAGCTGGTTTAGTTACAGCAAAATATAAGTGGCTTGAAATTGGTTATATTAGAAAGTGATTTGTCAACTTCCAAGTAAAGTCATATGAAGTATATCCTATTTGTAGAATCAAACATGAAAGAGATCAATTATATGACATTCTTCGAAATAATGGTTATTTTGTACTTAAATGCTATCAGTAAAATCAATATAAGTCAGATCATAAAGGACTAGCATTTGGAGAGGCATCAGGTATAATCAAGTTGAAAGAAAGACCTAAATAGGGATTGAATGACAGGTTAATTAATATTGTAAAAAATTCACATTTGCTCTCTGAATTATCTGAAAAAAATATTAATATAAAGAGATGAAAGAGGTTCCAGAAGCTTATCCAGACTTCTTAAGTTCTATATCTAGTACGACTCTTATCTGTTCACCCGTAAATACTGGTAAAACAAAAGCTTTAAGAGGAATTCTCAATTCTTTAGCTGAAAATAGAGAAAATTTGCCTTGTTTTATCTGAGTTTCATATCGCAAAACTCTTACCAATGAGACTAAAGCTAAAATTGAAATATTACAGAATTTACAACTTCGCGTATGCCAATATCAAGAAATTGAGGGTAGTTTAGCTATAAGTGATTAGAATATTATTATTATTCAGGTTGAAAGTACACATCGTATTGAGCTTCATGGAAGGCATCTATATGTAGTTATTTTAGATAAAGTCAATGTGGTTATATACTAAATGTCTAGTGGTATTCATACACAAGAATCTAAAAATACTATGCGAGATTTGCTAAAGTTAGCTATTTATGTTGTAGCTATGGATGCTTTTGCGAATGACTCTACTATAGCTTTCTTAAAACAATATCGAGGTAATGATATATAAATTTTCAATAATAAATATAAATTATGTATAAGCGAAACTGTTAAGATTCTTTATGATCTGAATAAAAGTTCAGAGACTATGAGAAGAGGTCTTAAGATGTTCTGAGAAGATAAGTGTGTTGCTTTTACAATGATATCATGTAAAAAGCTCGAGCTTTAGCAAACCAAGCTTTTGCATTACAAAAATTGGATGGTTCACCTATTTTAACTCGTATTTATTTTGGTCAAATGGATGGAATGCAATGACAAGAGGATTTTCACTAATATTAATGCTACCTGAAATTCTCTTGACTGCATAATTTACACAAGTACTGTAGAAGCTAGCATCTCCTTTGAAATTTCTAATCATTTTGATGCTATTATAAGAATTAGCAATATTAAAACAGGAGTACATGTTGAAGCTTTTGCATAGATGCTTTATTAATTCAGAATTATCCACAATATATATAATAGTCAGAAGTCTTTTAAAATATTTCAAGAGCTAAATCATAGTTTTATTCGTGCTAAACTTTCTGCTTTAAGACCTATTAATTTACTAACAGTAATAAAAGGACATCGTGAATGGGATAAAATTACTGATTGTTATGCTCTTGATATATCTCTAACAGTTGAAACATACATTGAGGCTGAATACCAAAGACGCTTATCAGCAAAGCACTTTCCTGAAATTCTTTGCAGTCTT